GCTCTTCTTCTGGGGGAAAAATAAGATTTGACATTCTTATTTTTGTTTACATTAGTCATCCTTCTTACATTTTGTTAAATGTCTAAGATAAAATAGTAAATAAAATAATTTATTTAATATATTTAAAAAAATTACTATTTACTAAAATTAAAATAAAATACCCAAGATACTACAACTGGGATATCAATACATAGAGAATGACTTAAGGTAATTGCAATACTATTCCATAAATTCGTAAAGTAAACTAGACACTGGAAATTAAATATAAAGAATGAATGACTTATGACACAAAAGATCTACGGGCTCACCATAACCCGTGATACTTGCAACTCTTATTTCTAGGTAGCGAATCTTTAACAACAACAAAACAACAAAAGGTATTCTCTCAATTGTAAAATCAATTCACAAGCTGCATGAATTGTGCAGAATTGTGCCCATTCAACGAAATAATATACAGGGGCTTGATATATATATATATATATATATATATATATATATATATATATATATATATATATATATATATATATATATATATATATATATATATAATATATAAGCACTGGGGCATCAACAGAGATTAAGGCACAGGTACTCTGAGAACTGTGGAATCAAGTCACAAACCTCATAATTTAGGCAGAATAATAACAAATAAATATTTATTAGCCACTAAACATAAACATAAGATTATTGAATCAACAGTCCAACATTCCCTACAAAATGTGTGTTGACATAGAGAATTTTTACATGGCCGCCTCTACCGTGAGCGGTTGCATATAATATCCACTTATATTAAATGCATCATACCCTAATGCCAGGCACCACAAGAACTTAAACACGGTATACTTAAGTATACAATGATGATAGACTGTGTCCGGGGGTCTTAGCTCTCCCCAGAGCGTTAGCCTGGCAAGGTCGCCAGTTTAAGTCACAGATATACCACCCCCCCCTCCACCTAGGTGCCCCTGATCACCTCTGGGGAGCACCTCAGTCACCAACGGGGTAGAGTTCTTTCACCAAACCTGGCCTTGCCCACGCAGGAGCTGAGGAACCTCAATCACTCCCCTAGCTTTCTTGTTGGGGTCTCCGTGGACACGGAACTCGGGGATATCCATGTTGAGCTGCCCAACATAAAGGTAGAAATTCAAGGTTGCCAACTTGGCTCGCTCAGCTCCGCGTCCAGGCATTGCGTCATCTCAGTGGTGGGTTCAAATCCCCCAGTCTAGTAGCTGCACTATAATGGCTTGGTGCACAGTAGCTCTCTCAATTCAACACAGAGAGAATGGCGGGGGAGTAAGTAAACACACTAATAAAATCGTTGGATTTACTCAATAGTCTACACTGGAAACGGGTTAAATATCCCACAAATCCGTTGGCTGGTAACACTCCTGAAAGTAACACATCTGGCAACTCTTCACTGTCGCCCCAAAATATAATCACTGATACTTATTTAATATATTACTGTAATAAGTTCAATGTCACCTCATACGTTTTTCAAGGTCATCTTATCCTTTATGTACACCCTTACCTAACACAAGGGGAAAATGGGAGGGCAAAATTGTCTACCTTATCATCCGAATACTGCAGAGCGAAGATTCCGCGTTGCGATGATAGGCTCCCTATAGACTCAACGATCAAGCCATCTGCTTGTTCGTTCCACGCAGGGCGTTGCTCCTCCACCAAGTGTTCCTCCCTGGATGTCAAGTTGAGAATGTTGTAGGCTGGCTTCCCCCTCCCCCCCCGCCACACACACACACTGATCCGCTGCTTCACACGCAGCCTCGTCGCTGTATAAACGATCGTTGAGCTTCTGCAGACCCGGCCTGTTATGGATTCAGCCCCACACAGCTTCCTACGTGCACGGCCTGCAGGATGTCCCAGACTATTCCTAGCGCCCCTTCCACATTTCTTAGGTCAGTTTCGGCCCCTGGTGTCGTCTTCACACCAACAAAGCTCTTCCCAAGATACTCACGCAGGAGATGACAGTTCTTCCTCGTCGTAGTTCCACGTAAACTGGCCTAATTGTACCCTCTGGAGGCTATTACGTCTCCCTGACAGGTGAGCACAATTCCGCTCGGCTCCGAGTACTGCTTGCTAGTCCCTCTCTTTTCGCGCCTTCAAGCAGCACCGCCTGAAGGCTCGCACGAGGTGCAACGCCATTGGTCAACTTCATCAAGCCCCCGCCGCTGGCCAATCACTTCCCGGCTGGCGCTGCTCCCCAGCTCGTTCTCCAAACAAAGACCCAATAGTGATTCCATGCACCCGTCAAACCCGCTGTTTATGAATGAAAACCGGTTTACACACGACTCACAACTGATTTCGTCCGAACACTTCCGGAACAAGTGCTTCACTGATGAATTTTGTTCGACCCACAACGCTGTAAATGCTTCACCCACGTACTAAAATTACAAATAACCGCCAACAGAACCTAAACACCTAACCTAACCTATACCTATATATGCACAATATGCTAATATATTATAATATTAATTTATATTTGAGAAAATTTCAGTTTTGAATGAACAATATGTAAAAAATTATGAATGCGTCTGTGGGATCGACCGCTGGATGTAATGGACTTGAGTCCAGAACGGGTTATGCTCCCATAACGCATCGGCGGGAGCTCCGCCCCCTGGGCGGCAAAGCTCTTCTCTACTTGGGATCGCACCGCCGTATTTATCATGGAAAGAGACGCCTGACGCCTCTATCCAAATTAACAAAAATCACACATGCTCATGAATGCCACATCAGGCTTCCTCCTAAGCGCATAAAATCAACTCACAATATCTTCTAGTTATATACAAACAGGGCGTCATGACTCTTATGTGCGGGATTAGGGAAATAAAGGACTGAACTGCATCACAACTGCCAGTCCTACCATGGAAATGAGGATCTTTACTGGAGTCCAGCAAAGTAGACTGGTCACTCACTCACTCACTCACTCACTCACTCACTCACTCACTCACTCACTCACTCACTCTCTTTTCTCCCCGCCTGCCGTTCCAAAATTGTCACAATTTATTATAAATTCTCCTGCATGCATATTTAAGTTTAATATATCTTGTATTATGTTTCAACATTTAATACTGTAATTTTTCATTCACTTTTTTTAAACTAGGGGAATGTATATGAGAGAGATTCTCCAAACTCTGCATATTGTTTATACCCTAAACTCTCGATTTTCGGCTCTTGGATCCCGCCTTACCAAGAACAGAAGATCCAAATTACAGTAAAATGAATGACAAAAATTTCAAGAATTACTGTGAAGCAACATTTGTTCAGAAATAAACCCACTCTAGCACATACACGTTGATCTCCAACGTTGCTTGTTACTAACCCAGCATAATGTGACGGCAAGCATAATGTGTCAACAGCATAATGTGTCTACAACATAATGTGTCGGCAAGCATAAGGTGTCAACAGCATATTGTATCAACATAGCCTTATGTTGAGCATAAAACGGAACATTGATGAGCTCATTAACTTGATGTAAGGAGGTTTCAATGACCCAATAAGTAAGTGTTTGATAAAAACGTTGGTGTTTATATATTATGTTTAAAACTCCAAAGTTTGTCGTCTCATTGATGTAGTTTTTCGTTTTTGTTTGTTTTACATTAAAAATAACAAATTAGTTGATGCATTAAACTAAGGTTAAGGTTAAGATAGGTTAGGCTAGGTAGGGTTGGTTAGGTTCAGTCATATATCTAGGTTAATTTTAACTCAAATTTAAACAAATTAACTTAAACATAATGAAATGGACAGATTTATCATTTCATAAGAAAAAAATGGAAAAATATATAAATTCAGGAAAACTTAGCCTATTAGGCAAATCGGGCATTGCATTGTAGGCCACGTACGGCGTTCTGGCTACAAGGTACAACATTATATATATATATATATATATATATATAATATAGTATATTTCGGTAGCAGTCTTTCTTGTAAACATGAGTTGTTGAATATGACCGAAAGGGTAAGATTAATAATTCTAACACGAATCATTCTTCTTTACTGTCGAAGGTAATTGATAAATTAACTCTCCAAAATTCATTCTTTATATCTGGTCTGACGCCTGAACGCATTTCGTAATGCTTATTACATTTTCAAAGACTTAGTTTACACATAAAATACATCATACTTATACTCGTTTTGGGTGAGGTGATATGGTACAAAAGTTTTGGGTGAAGTGACAGAGCTATGCTAGAACACGAATCAATGGGAATAAATTGGGTATAAAAGTATAAGAATGGAAGTAACTGCAGAAGACCTATTGGCCCATACTTCCTCTTGCTGCTTCTATGTTGGTACGGGGTCTTAAAGTGGGTAGAATATAGTTGTGCATTAATTGGCTGTTGATTGTGGTAGTGACTTTTTGATGTGTAGTGCCTCACTGATGTCTAGGCTCCTGCTATCGTTGTATTTATCGAATATTTCTGTGTTGCATGTTAAGATTTCTCTGGTGATGGTCTGGTTGTTAGAAGAGATTATATGTTCCTCGATGGAGCCCTGTTATTTGTGCATAGTTAATCGCTTAGAAAGAGACGTTGTTGTCTTGCCTATAAACTGAGTTCTTTTTGGCTTACAGTCCCCAAGCGGGCATGTGAAGGCATAGACGACGTTGGTTTCCGTCAGGGTGTTCTGTTTGGTGTCTGGGGAGTTTTTCATGAGAAGGTTGGCCTTTTTTTTTTTTTTAGTAAAGTGTCAATTATATTTTCTGATTTTTGTCTGTAGGGATAACGTTCCTATCAATAATATCATTCAGGACACTTTGCTCCGATTTATGAGCCGTCGAAAAGAAGTTTCTGTAAGACAGTCTAATAGGGGGTACAGGTGTTGTGTTAGTTGACTCTTCAGAGGTTGCATGGTGTTTCACCTTTCTTTTTATGACGTCTTCAACAATACCGTTATAGAAGCCATTGTTGTCTAGGACCTGCCTTACCCTACAGAGTTCTTCGTCGAGTTGCTTCCATCTTGAGTTGTGGCTGAGAGCACGGTCGACGTAAGCGTTGACAACACTCCTCTTGTACCTGTCTTGGCAGTCACTATTGGCATTGAGGCACAGTCCTATGTTTGTTTCCTTAGTGTAGACTGCAGCGTGGAAACCTCCGTTTCTTTCCTTGACTGTTACATCTAGAAAGGGCAGCTTCCCATCCTTCTCTATCTCGTACGTGAAACTCAACACAGAATTCCACTCGAATGCCTCCTTCAGCTGCTGCAGACGTCTGACATCAGGTACCTGCATAAAAATGTCAACATACCTACAGTATATGGCGGGTTTCAAGTCCATGTCAACTAAGACCCTCTGCTCTTACATGGGTACCTTGCTCGATGGTACATGGGTACCATCGAGCAGAAGGTCTATTGGCCCATACGAGGTCTTGAAGTGGGTAGAATGTAGTTTTGCGTTAATTGGACTTGAAACCCGCCCTATACTGCAGGTATGTTGACGACATTTTTATGCAGGTACCTGATATCAGACATCTGCAGCAGCTGAAGGAGGCATTGTAGCAGAATATATATAATATTAGTATATAATATTACTAGTACTTTTACTCTTATTAATTACATTTTCATCGATCTTCTAGTTTTGGTATATATTTTGTGAATTATTATTTTTTTAAATAATTAAAATAATAATAATATTTTTTCCAATATTTTGACTATTAAATTGCCATTGATACAGGTCTGTAATTGAGGGGGGTCTTCCCTGCTGCCACTTTTGTAAATTGGAACTATGATATCTTTAGTTATATCTTTAGTTATATCGTTATATATCGTTATATCTTATGTTATATATCTTATATCTTATCTGCTACAACTTCTATATACAGCAACCCGTCCTCCTACAAATTACGTCACTTTCTGCTCGTATGCGCTACGGCGAAAAAAGTCGTAATTTGACAACGAAATATAATTGAAACGTTGGATTTTTTCACCAAAACAACAAGTTAAGGGTCCTCTGGTAGGTTAGAAGGGCAGGAAGTTCTCTTAAGGTTTCTAAACGTCATGAAACCGTTAATTGAAATTTTTCTCTCCTAACCTAACAGCTGAAGCCAGAGGACCCAAAACACAAAACGGGAAAGTACGTCACTTTCGTGCAACCCGTTCTCGCACTTTCGTATAGTCAATATTGACTTATTAAATACGTGCATATGTGACATACTAAATATACTAGTTTACCTTGAAAAGCTTCATAGAAAACACCGACCTTACCTAACCTTCTTAGTATGTTAAGATAAGCATCTTATTGCTTCATAATTACAATTATTACTTAACCTATTATAGGTATAGGTTAGGTAATAATTGTTAAAAAAGCATCTTATTGCTTCATAATTGCAATTATTACTTAACCTATTATAGGTATAGGTTAAGTAATAATTGTAATTACGAAGCAATAAGATGCTTATCTTAACATACTAAGAAGGTTAGGTAAGGTCGATGTTTTCTATGAAGCTTTTCAAGGTAAACTAGTATGTTTAGTATGTCACATTTGCACGTATTAAATAAGTCAATATTGACTGTAAGAAAGTGCGAGAACGGGTTGTTTCGTGAGCCGATTTCCTTTTGAATTACGTTTGTTTTAGCCTGAGTGCGCATACGAGTGCAAAGTGACGTAATTTGTAAGAGGGCGGGTTGTACTCAGAGATGCCTGATAAATCAGTTGAAGTGGAATGCTGAGTTGAGGTGCACATTCTCTCAGAACCCATGGTGAAACTCCATCTGGACCAACTGATGAGTTCTTACTTAGCTCCTTGAGCATTTTCTTCCACTTAGTCTCTAGAAACCTCTATGTGCTCTGTTGTTCTCTGGAAATCTTCTTGTGTCTGGTTCTCTGAATTTTTCATTTTGTACAAATATACTTTGGAACTTTTCGTTTAATGTTTCAAACATTTCCTATTCATTTTCTGTGAATCTGTTTACCATTTTAAACCTTTGAATATTATCCTTTACCTGCAATTTGTTGTTGATGAATCTATAGAATAGGCCTGGTTCTGTTTTACATTTGTCCGCTATCCCTTTCACAAAAATTACTTTCTGCCTCTTTCCTCACTGCTGTGTAGTTATTTCTAGCAACTTTGCATCGCTGGTATGTTTGGGGGTTTGGCCTCTTCCTGTATTGGTTCCATTTTTGTGTCTTTTGGTCTCTAGCCCTCTCGCAATTTCTGTTGCATGCAATATGTGCATGGCAATACGTGCATGACAAACTGTGTATGACACAATGTATAACGATATTTAACAAAAACGCGTATGGCAATATGTGCATGATAACACGAACATAACAATATGTGTTTTCCAATATGTGAATGAAAGTATGTGCATAGCAATATAAGTATGACGGTATGTATGTGATAATAATTCTATGCCAATGTGCATGACTGTATGTCTCAACATGTGAATTACAAACATGTACGCAAATTCCTATTATAGAACTTACTTGTAAATTATCATACAATACAGAAGGCCACTTTAAGACTCCTTAATCGAATATTGATGCATCCCTCTATAAATCCTACTTTTCTTTTGTCTCTTGAAGCCTTGGTGCATTGCTCTCTTAAAATGAATACAGAACAATCACCTCTGATCTCTTCTTCAGTCACTTATATCTCTAAGTTCATCCTTCAGTTTCTTCTTCATTCACTTATATCTCTACGTTCATCCTTCAGTTTCTTCTTCATTCACTTATATCTCTACGTTCATCCTTCAGTTTCTTCTTCATTCACTTACATCTCTACGTTCTTTCTTCAATTGTTGGTTCTTAAATTCTTGTGCCAAAAATCCAAGAATTCCCATTAATGAGCCTTCAAATTTGTCCGCTATTCGTTAGATAAGGTTACTAAGGTTAATAAGATGTTTAAATTTGAGTGTAAACTTTGTTGGAGTTGTGAAGGTGGGAGTCCCAGTTTAGGCTCGCCGGATATTTATGTTGTTGTAGAGAAGAAGGCTGAAGTACGTCAATGTCAATTACATCAAATAAAACAGAACGCTTCAGGCACTCAATTTTCACTTGGATTTTCTTGTTGTGTTTAGATTACACATTTTTCCACCTATTTAATACATATGATCATCAATATCGTACACTTTTTCTCTTAAATAAACTTTGATGGAGAACTTTTTCATATACTTTCTGAAAATCCAGGTATATAAAATCTCTCTCGAAACACTGTACTTATTACGAACCAGAACAAATAGATTCATTGTTGATTCATAGATGCATTGCTAATCCATATAGTTTTGTTATTTTTTGACATTTCGGCACTACACTGCATTTTGGGAGTTTCCATGTTTATCCTGGTTATTTACAAGTTTATAAGGCTGGTTCTTGCAATGGTCTGAAATCTCCAGGGTTCGACCCCGCGTCTCAGGCAGAGTGAGAGCGCTGACGAGTGCCAGGGTGCCGCACACAACACTAAAGAGCCAGAAGGCCCCGTGTTGCCCAAGTGCTTCTGCCGTTGCTGGGTAAGTCATATGGATGCTGCGCAAATTCCCATCGAAGATGTCATCACAAATGTTGAATATCCAACATTTCGCAAAGGTGTAGGCATCACTTCACCCGCTAACACAGGGACGACTGGCACCCCAATGCAGTTAGAAGTAGTAGGCATCCATCAGTCTCAGGAGACTATGGAGTTGCGCTCTGGTTGTCGGTCTGGAGTGACCTGTCCAGGGCGCAAAGCCAGGGGTAGGTTGATACGGAGGATAAGTTGTTACCCATGCAGCTGGTCTCCCCCCTCTCCACGGCGACGAAACTTTCCAATGGAAAGGCAAACGCCAATACGATTGGTTCCAGCGCCGTCGCAGGAGCTGTGAACTCCGGAGTTAACCTCGAAGTTGGTGAAAGAAGGCACAGGGACTCTACCCGGGGACCGCCGTGGTCGGGGCCGGAGAACCACCACCCCATCAAGGGCAAGAACGACCCCCGCAGTTAAATAATAAGAATATGAACACGGCACTAAGTGGCAGGCACTCCAGGCCCGCGGTACCGCCTCACTCCTGCGTGTAGAAGTAGCCTCCACAAGCAGCCACAGCACACACGCAGTACGGAACTATCATCAGTAGTCTGCGTCTCAGACGATCACTCAGAGAAAGGTGGTGGTGGTCCCGGCAGTCCTGACGGTATAAAATATTATGGGGCAGATGTATGGATTCAGGCTGGTCTCCAGTGTCTGGAAAACGGTCAATAGATATACCATCAGCGAGTAGTTCCCATCAAAACGCACAAAAATACCGAGAAAAATCATTAAGCCCAGTATGCGATTTACTGACGGCTCTATAAGACCCCGTATTTGCTGCCAGTAAATATTTCCACATCCGTTTGTATTTTCAATCTGGTCTGTCATTGCCTTTAATTCTGAATTAAAGTCGTAATGTTTTCCTCTGAAGAAAACGAGAGCTTTCTGAGCATCAGTGACGCGGCCGCGAGTGACGAGCCAGCGAGGAGAGTTTGGCAGGAAGATCAAGCCCAAGATGGGGATGGCAGTCGTACCGGAATACACGAAGCCCATTTGTCGCCAGCTGAGACTGGACAGCCCGACGACTGATGCCCGTAAGTAGCTCAGTTGTCTTGCTATAAAAAGGATACCACTGACATCTCCTCGTACGTCTTGATGCGGAACCTCGAGGACGTACGTCATTGTGGATATTCCAAGACTCCCTAATGGAAGGCCGATAAGGAGCTTGGACATTAGGAGGATCCACACGTGGGAGGAGAAGGCCAACAAGAGACAGGATATCACTATGATGAGGAGACTCAACAGTTGGGTGACAATGTGTCCCCGACTCATCATTGGCGGCACACCAACAATGCTCCCTAATATTGAACCCAGGAACAGATAACTCCCTCCAATTGAAAGGGTAATTATTATATTAGTGTCTGTCTCCTGCCAGGCAGCCGTCTCTACCTCGAATAATTAAGAAGTAATCAAGGATTGAGAAACAACTTCCCAAATACAATTTATTCAGATCAAAACATCATTGAAATAAAAAAAAATCTATATTTAGTGTGTCCAACACATGTGCAACGAGAGGGAGCATAAAATAAATTTAACTTCAGCAAACGAGCTATTTATTAGAACCAAATAAAGTCAAATGAAACACGATTTTTGTTTGTTTGTTTAGGTTTATATGTATATTTTGAGTTGAAATGTGATCTTAGATTCCACTTGTTATCGATGTTTTCCAAAATCTTAGTTTTGTATTTAGTCCTTATATAATGAAATCTTTTTCTGGGATAAGGTGTTTGCTTCATATTTTCTTAGGTTGGGTGGAAAATAAATCGAATATAATATATAATAGTCCTTAGACCTCACACTCCCTTTCACTACAGGTGATATATGATCACTGAACTACTGAACATGAACTACTGAAACCCACTCAGTAAAGTTGAGTGAAAGAGCACTCGAACTGTTAACTTTGGAACAAAGGCGAGAGACATACCTCATAATATTCTCATGGACGATACTGGAAGTACAGGTTCCAAACCTGTCACTATATTTACAACATACTTGAGAGGTAGATGCAGGTAGAAAGTGTAAAATAAACACCAGTGAAAATTCCGGATGCCATAAGGACAATTAGAGAACACCGTAAACACATCAGAGACCCAGGACTCTTCAGTCTCCTGCCCATATATATATATATATATATATATATATATATATATATATATATATATATATATATATATAATATATTATTAAATATGACCGAAAAAGTAAGATTAATAATTCTAACACGAATTTTCTCGATCTTTCTTACGTTTCTTTTCACTGTTGATGGTAATTCAAAAATCATCGATAGATACAGCGATAGCAGGCGGCTTGACGTCTGCGAGGCACTACACATCAAGAAGTCAACACCAGCAATCAACAGCCAATTAATGCACAACTATATTCTACCCACTTCAAGACTCCGCTCCAATATAGAAGCATCAAGAAATATGGGCCAATAAAAATAGACCTTCTGCAGTTACCTACCTTTAATACCCATTGTTTCGTGTCCTGTCTTGTGTTAAAAGTTTATTTTCACCTCATCCAAAACTATTGTAACATGTCACCTCACCCAAATGTAGGTATAAAAACTCGAAGATGTTTAAGCTCTATTCAAAGTTGTGTGTGTGTGTGTGTAAACTAAAGTCTTTGAAAATGTAATAAGTTTTACGAAACGCGGTCAAGTGTCGCGTCAGACTAGAAATAAAAATGAATTTTGGAGAATTGATTTTTCAATTACCATCAACAGTGAAAAGAAACATAAGAAAGATCGAGAAAATTCGTGTTAGAATTATTAATCTTACTTTTTCGGTCATATTTAATATATATATATATATATATATATATATATATATATATATATATATATATATATATATATATATATATATATATATATAATACACACGATAGCTGTCACTGCAACACCAGTGGAAACTTTCGTGAATTAAGTTGAATATGTTGACCAAACATCACACTAGAAATTAGAAATTGAATAGACGACGACGTTTTGGTCCGTCTTAGGTCATTGTCAAGTTGATTTAGATAATGCCATGACGGACCGAAACGTTGTCGTCTCCTCAATTTCTAATGTGTGGTTTGGTCAACATTTTTCAGCCGCGTTATTGTGACTTTTCTTCTACATGAAGTTGAATAATTTTTGTTGGAGTTCACGGATCATTCTGGCTGTGATGACTGGGATCCTTTAAGCTATGAAGACAGTTTCACGGACCCACAAACCACCAAGGAAGGCTGGCTATAGGCCAGGATGCAGAATAATTAAATTGTCCAATTAGTCACCAATTAGTCAACAGCCATTCAATATGGGTGGTTATTCGCGGCCGTGGCAAATGTTGACAAAAGTCGTAGAAGATTACTTGTTTTGCCTTAATTGACGCCATAATATTGATTTGCTGCTACTTGAATCATGAATTATTTTGAATAATATACATGATGAATAAAAAGAAGTTAAGTCGATATGAACGAGAGTTACTACGACACAGCCAACACGCTGATGAAGTAACTCATCTTCTCACCTGCTCCTCATTTTGTACGTTAAGGTACACAAAAACAAATTACAACGTACAAAACTATGAAAAAAACAATGACACACAATTATCTCCTTTTTTAATGCATTGAAAGGTTGGGTTTGGCGAGTAGCTTCGGTTCGTACGTTAATGGTTAGGTTAACTCTTTTTATTTCGTACGTTGTGGCAAATCAGGAGAACGGGGCTGGCCTGATGGGGGTGGACACTGTTGTTTAACCCCTACCGTGAAGCGGCAGCTGGGGGGCAGTGAGGAGGAGGTCGCCGACCTCTGGGTTGATGAGCTGAGGAAGTGTGATCCCAGAGAAGGTCATCCCGAAGTCACTCTGAAGCAGCATGAAACTCATCACCAGTGACGCAAACACCTGTTGATGACAGTGGAAGATATGGAATATCATATAACACAAATAGCCATTTATATTGAAAGATAATAACTATCAGTTGACGCAAACACCTGTTGGCAGCTCGAACGTCATCTGAGTGTAACAGAGGGAAAGTCTTCACTTTCTTGGCTAAACTTTGTAAAATTAGTTAAGGGACACATGGTAAACGGATGACTAATTCCTTATTAACGTCACATAAATGAACCATTAATACTCGCGCAATTCATACATTTATGTAACTCTGTGACACGAAGGAAAACGATTGGAACGTTAATCAAAGAATGGAGAGTAATTTAAATTTAATCTGTTTAAAAATTCTTAATTTGACTATATTTAAACTCGCTAAAGGGAAGAAACAGAAACTGTATACCCTCCAAACACACACCGAAACTACGACGTTGGTACAACGTTCGAACAAGTTTTAACACCTCCTAACCAGTAATAACAACCAATATAACAAGTTGTAACAACGTTCAAATACGTCATAAACACGTTAAGCCAAGATGTAACAACTCTATTATAAGTTGTAACAAGCGGAAAATAGAGACAGTTTCGGTTTGTGTTTCCAGGGTAGGAGGAAGTTTGGGTACGTGAACACACACACGTTTGGCTAGTTTCACCAATTACTGCTTCACTAGCTCCCCCTCTCTTCCTAAAGTATAAGTGACTTTACAATAAGTATAACAAACATATAGAGAAGAGGATCTGGATCAAGATGTCCACTCCCCAGAATAGGTCAACAGACCTACTGCCAGGGACTCCTAATTATGTTCTCCAGTCTCATTTCGGTATTAAAATAATAATTACAAAATGGAATACTATAGGTGATAAACATAGCAATAACTATTGCAAACAATTTCTGCTTGGAAGATGAGGGCCAGACGCTTGGGGCTAGCCTCACCAAACGTTTGCTGTGTGACTGGTGTTTGTCCGTGGATGGTCATAGGCAGGTCAGGATCGAACCCCCATGCCACCTCCCTTGCATTAAATCCCAGATTACACCATATAATCTTGCTATAATACCGAACTTTATCCTCACTATGTTTCTTCCAACATATGTTAGATTATCTTATGGAGTTTACTGATAATGTGAGTACATAGTATCATGGACGGGGGATATTATTTTCTAATCATCAGAGACCCCTCCCTGATAAAATAATATAATAACTGCTGCAATCATTCAACAATAGAGAGCACACAGGAGAGTCACCCTGTAATGATCTTACCTATGGAGAGTGGGCTCAACGTCACCTTATCTTGGGAATCGGCATAAATCCGGCCCAGTGTCATGAGTACACACACACACACACACACACACACACACACACACACACACACACACACACACACACACACACACACACACACACACACACACACAAGAGCCCAATAGGCTCAGGAATCTGTACACCAGTTGATTGACGGTTGAGAGGCGGGACCAAAGAGCCAGAGCTCACCCCCCGCAAGCACAATTGGGTGAGTACACACACACACCGCTGAGTCACCATGATTTACCCCCCCCCCCTCTCTCTCTCTCTCTCTCTCTCTCTCTCTCTCTCTCTCTCTCTCTCTCTCTCTCTCTCTCTCTCTCTCTCTCTCTCTCTCTCTCTCTCTCTCTCTCTCCCCCCCCCCCCCCCCTCCCCCCCTCCCCCTCCCTCCATTTTCTAGAAATTCCTCACCAGGACAAGTGCAAAGACAAGTGGTCTACAGAAAAACATTTTTTACAAAAATATAAAGAATATAGAAATAACACCATATTACCATCAGGTTAAAAAAAATTAGCATCATGTTTATTTAATACCAGTGCTCCAACACATACAGCACACTAGGAAGCTGCATTACTCCTCCCCAGCAACCTCCTGCCCCCCCTCTCACAGGGGGGGGGGGCAACTTGCATAGAATTTAACTCGGACAAGAAAATATTAACGCTCTCACCTTGTACTGCGTCATTCATAACATGACTTCATACGCACCCTCAAACAACAATGATGTCCATATAATCTTTCATCTTCCTTTGAATTATTAGATTAATTTGATGTTAGTAGTTACTAATCATACACTTGTGCGTCAGTTCGCATAGGACGGATGTCCAGTACTAGAGTTGCAGGGGTTGGAAGTCTAACCTGGGTCTGAGAGTAAATCCTGCCAAACACACACCGAAACTACGACGTTGGTGCAACGTTCGAACAAGGTTTAACACCTCCTAACCAGTTATAACAACCAATATAGCAAGTTGTAACAACGTTCTAATACGTCATGAACACGTTAAGCCAAGATGTGACAACTTTATTACAAGTTGTAACAAGCGGAAAATGGAGACATTTTCGGTTTGTGTTTCCAGGGTATTTGCCTCCTGCAGAATTTACCATGGTTATGTCCTGATATTTAGTAGGGCTACCAATGAATCGATGGTAGTAGTCTGTCCCTACAAGGATACTGAAGTCGGTGAGGTGATCAGACTTAATATTATCTGTCAATTTTATTCCTGTATTTCTCGTGAACTTGGCAGTAGCTCTCAGACCTTGTACTTGTAGGTCTGCTGGAATTTTGTCTACCACAATGGCTTGTACTTGACAGACGTACTTGCCTAAACGTACTGATGGTTGTACCACCTGGTAGACTTGAGGTCCTGCATCTGTTAGAAACCCTGAGATATTGATTGTCGTCTGGGTTACAGGCCTTAATTGTAGTTCATCTGCCAACCTTTTAGTGACATATGTTCTCTGGGACCCTTGGTCAAACAACCCACGAGTATGGACTTTGGCCCTCTTGTTCTATATGGTAATTTGGGCAGAAGGAAAAGTCGCTTTACTTTTGGATTGTGCGGCTTGGACACTAATTTTCTGTCGCACCTTGCAAACTGTACTGTGGTGGGAATGCTATCTTCCACCTTGGGTCTGGAATATGTTAATTTCGTATGATTGCACAGTGCTGCATGGTGCTTACCTCTTCTACACCTGTTGCAGGTGTGGAATTGGGTCTCACAATAGTCAGTGTTGTGTGATTTGAGACACATTGCGCATTTCCCCAATTCCTGGAGTCACTTAATAGTGTGTGTTTGTCTGGATAATTGGTACAACGGTATTTTGAATGTTTCTTTCTGCAGAACATACATGTCTCCCAGCCTACTGCACGCTTGCAAGTTACCGGTTTGGGTGAACTAGTAACAGTAGGTTTGTAGGATTCTGCTGCATAAGTGCCAGATTTTCTCCAACTTGATGTGAAAGTAATTGGTTGATGTTTATTTGGGGTAGTTATTTTACGCGTTAATTTACTGTTATTTTCATTTCTGAAGGCTTGCTAGAGGCTTTATCTTCCTCATTTGCACGTCGTTTGTCTATGATGGAACGCAAACCTTCAGTGAAGTCCTGTACTGTCAGCATGGTGTTATGTTGATGTGTGTATAATTCATCTAGTATATCGATGAACAATTTTCGTTGAAGGATTACTTTGGTCATCCACTCACTAGTGGTTATATCAACCTTAAGACTGAATGTTCTTAGTAGTGACTCAAACTCCATGCTGAAGGATAGTAATGAGTCAGCAGTCTGATCAGGTTGAGGTAAGTCCAGCAATTGTAGTACTGGATGTATTGCAGTTTGCTCATTGCCAACATTATCCCTAGGAAGCTGGACTGGGAAATTAGTGCTGTCGCTATTTTCATTAACATTTTCTACTACTGGTTCAGCTTCGCCATTCACTTCAGTTTGGAGGCATGTTAACTTAGTAGCCTCCGGTATTGGGCTTTCGGAATTCACAGACTGTGGATAAATTGTCTGAGAACTGTTTAATTTCTGGTGGTATAATATTGGGTGAAGCTGTAGTGGGTGAAGCTGTATCCTCGTTGATTAAAGGATCTAATCTGGCTTGACATTTATTCTCAAAAGGAACCAGATCATCCATAATATTATCTGCTTTATTTGATGTACTGGCTGTTTGCTCTGAAGCAATTATCCTGTGTAAATGCTCCAACTTGGCTCGAGTTTCTTCTTCATATTGTGCTAGGCCAGACAGGAATGGTTCCACATCTTCAATTACTATGTCGTCGTCGTCGTCGTGGACCTGATTTTGGTAAGATTTCCTATTTAGTTTCAATTGATGTAATTGAGTTTGAATCTGGAATAGTGGGATTTTCAACCGACGATAATTAATTATAGGATCATATAACAACTGTTCATATTGGTCGAGATCTCTTGTCAGTTGACGTTTACTTGCTACTAAAGCACGTTTTGCTTTCTGAGGATTAGTCATAGTTACTTGTTAATTGGATATTACTGGCTCATAAATTGTGAGAAAGTACTGATGTAGTAGCCTAAGATAAAATTCTACAATCACAAGGCTACAATCTTACCTCTTCTAGAGGTAAGAGCTTAAAATTAAAATTAATAAACATTATATATATATAATCATACACACTGATGATTTGAGTGATAAACTAATGTCACTGGAAGTACCTTTAGGTTAGCTCCACAAGAATCACCCTAGGTTGGTATAGACACTAATTAATCACTCAAAAAGTGCAATGATAATAAGTAAACTATTATATGTACACAACTCAACTCGAGCTGGTACTAATTACACCCAAAATAGGATCTGCACCATTAATTAATGGTGCTCGGTAGTTCAATGCAGTACAACTAGACTATGGTAATAAATGGGACTAGGATGAACAATAAATAGTTCAACTAGTCAATGGTAATACTGGACTAGGTTATCAATAAATACTAGTGAATGGTAATATCCTACCCTGGTGTGGGTTGGCTAGAAGTAAATATTATATTGAGAAAACTAGTGCAATATATATTAAACATTCTCTATTTATGAGAAATAATATACACAATTGTTGATGATTGCCTCTTAATTAGTCTCTAGAGTTATTTAGAAATATTAAATCTTATTAATGACCTCGCGAAATAAACACCACAAAATTCGTGGATAAACTTCGTGATCGCAGCCACTAATTTGGCTGGCTTTAAAATAAGCGCTATCACTTCACGGAATAACACTCCACGAAATTGGTGGGTGACCGTGAAGTCATTGGGCTGAGGGGCTCCTGAGCTGATGCCGGGTCACCGCGGCCGGTCTCGTGACTGGCAATATTTGTTCACTAATTTATTACATTAGTACCAGTGTATTTAATGAGTCCACTGGTTAACTCTGGTTAATCCGGTACAAAGGTGACCAAATAATCTCGCTCCTGGGACTCTGATCTTAACAATGGCTGATTCCTTCCTACTGACGCTAGAATCACGAAGGAGTTACGCAAGCACTTACGAACCTGTACATCTTTTCTCAATCTTTGGCGGCTTTGTTTACAATAATTAAACAGTTAATAAGCTCAGAAGCACCAGGAGACTGTTTATAACAATAACAACAGTTGATTGGGAAGTTTTCATGCTTGTAAAATGTTTAATATATGTAATCAAAGCCGTCAAAGATTGAGGAAAGATGTACACTTTCGTAAGTACTTGCGTAACTGCTTCGTGAATCTGGTCCCCTGGCTCTCTCTATCCAGATGTCAATATTTGGTAGAAGTGTCAAATTTACTCTATTTTGGTACTGATAATTATATTAATTCAAATGAAATGCTTTTATGATGTTAAAAGTCCAAAGACTGCTGTATTAAGAATAATTCCCACCAGTATAGCTGGCGAATTTAATAGCGACGTGGCAATGATATTCCATTTTTATTGACGAAAAATTCCACTACAAGCTATATTTTCTATGGGTTAACTTGTGTATACATTCAAGCAGCAATATTATCTGCTTATTGTATTTAATATTAGTAAATGGTGTCAGATGTTTCGACAACAAATCTGTAATCTCATTACCACCCAATAACAACATATTCTCCTATCAAAACATAAATACCACACACACACACACACACACTCATATATATATATATATATATATATATATATATATATATATATATATATATATATATATATATATATATATATATATATATATATATATAAAATTTGTGTAAATCATGAAAATTAACGTAATGAGAAATGTGAGTGTCAGACCACGAAGGAAGAATTAAAACAGGAATTTCCATGAGTACTTTCGTATATTAATACATCTTCAGACGGAATATATATATATATATATATATATATATATATATATATATATATATATATATATATATATATATATATATATATATATATATATATATATATATATATATATATATATATATATAATATTAAATTTCACCTTCCGATATCCTACCCCGCGCCAGGCCTACTGTGGTGGGTACTCCCCCATAATGGACGAGTTCCACCCAGGATTCTCCCAACAGCATTAGGTTAAGGAAGGCTTAGGGACCATTCAAGCTTGTTCACATTTGTGTAGCTCATGTGGCCCCAACATGCGAGGTGATTCGATCAAATATCTGTCCTCAAAATTCTGTCCACCGAGTGCTCTTCGGGCTTGGGATAAGGGTCTGACGACTTCGAATCCTTTTGAACAGTCAGTGTTGCCTAGTGGGTTAAGTGTCGGATACGGAAGTGCCTTGGCTGTCTGTATTCGACTCCTTCAGGGGTTTCTCCCGCCCCGACCACGGCGGTCTCCAGGTTTGGAGTCCCTGTGCCTTCTTTCACCAACTGAGTGGTAAACTCCGGAGCTGGAGCCCCCTAGGGCAGTTTGTTGTTGCCTTCAACCTCGTTCTGTCAGTTCCTGCGATGGCGCTGGAACTAATTGTATTGGCGTTTCCCTTTCAATTGGAGGCTTTCGGCGCCTTGGAGAGGAGTGACCTGCTGCATGGGTAACAGCTTCTCCCCCGTATCAACCTACCCTGGCTTTGTGCCCTGGAGAGGCCACTCCAGACCGACAACCAGAGCGCAACTCTTTAGTCTCCTGAGACTGATGGATGCCTACTGCTACTACTATAAATAATATACATTAGTTGAGTACCTGCGGTGCCCGGGATAGTCTCTTCCACCAGCTGGTCAGACTGTGCAGGCTGTGAAAATGATGAACGACCTTGTAGAACGTGGAATGACACTAATTCAGGAATTCAATGGCCTACTCAAACATGAAGATCACCTACAGCTCCTCCTGAAGGTTGTGAAAGAACGTAGGAAAATCCTCCCCGGCAACATGAAGAAGACCCCTCACTGGAAAGGCTTGAATTGTCAATGGTAGTAATGATTTGGAATGTTATTCCTAGTTTTGTGTGCATATAATGTGCTACAATTTTACCTTCGTAGACAAATGCTCAAGTTTATTGAGATTGTTTCTTAACATTAAGCTATGTAGTCGTAACGGCTTAGTGCGTTCTCCTGATGATTACCTTACCCCTAAAAATGATGGTACATTCTTAAAACTGTGCAGGTGGCTGCATGAGGCTTAACCCGACCCGTCTATGAGCATCTCCGGAGGAAGACCAGTCACCCTGCAAAGTTTAGTCTAGCTTCCCCCCCCCCCCACTCCCCCATCGAACAGGCAAAAGACAGACAGACTGACCTCCTATCTTATTTAAATAGATATCTTAACAGCCTATTTACCTGGGGGGTAAATTGGGTGAGGATGTCTTCAACAGGACTCAGATTTGATCTTCACTACTCCACAGTCACGTCATTAGCGCAACACGTGTCTGCAACGAGAGCACTCTCCTTTCTCTGGGATAGAACCCTGTTGTTGTTTTTGTTGTTGTTTAAGATTCAGCTGCTGGAAACAAAACGTTCCAAGTAGCACGGGCTATGGTGAGCCCATAGTGGACTATTGGAGCGGGGCTGTAACTTAGACGTAGAACCCCCTGTTTCCTGAGGCCTCATCAACTGTTGCGCGTGTTCCCCAATACGTCTTCGTAAACGCTCTCGTCACACGAACTATGGCGCCATAGTCAACAAGTTGTACTACGTGAGAAAAACGCCACTATGGCTCTAATAGGCCACTAAACAGCTGTCGAAGTACCTAAGGTGACGAAGGCACACACAAGAATGACACTGAGGACAGCGAAGGTGACCCCAAACAGCTGGGAGAGACCCAACAAGACGCCGCTTCCCCACACACTAACTTGAGCCACAACATGGCTCATTGGGAAACTATGATAAATTCCGGATAACGTGTACCTTTTTTTATACAGGAGCTGGAGATTGGTGCTGCGTTATTTAGTTAGTTTAAGCTCCCACACGCAGCGTAGTTGCCACAACGCGCTGTGGCCACTACTCGTTGCCTCTCTACCCCAGTCACTGTACGAACCATCGACAATTATAATTGATTTTCCCTTTCACTGAACATGAGATTAACAACGAGAGATTGATCAATTATCCTTCAGGAAGGAAATTATGGGGAGAAATCGCATAGCCAATAAGACTTTCTGGCACTTAGAAGGGATATAAGGAGAGGCTGCGTGAGCATGCACAGGAAGACAGGCTGCCTGAGCATGCACAGGACAGGCTGCCTGAGCATGCACAGGAGGACAGGTTGCCTGAGCATGCACAGGAGGACAGGCTGCCTGAGCATGCACAGGAGGACAGGCTGCCTGAGCATGCACAGGAGGACAGGCTGCCTGAGCATGCACAGGAGGACAGGCTGCCTGAGCATGCACAGGAGGACAGGTTGCCTGAGCATGCACAGGAGGACAGGCTGCCTGAGCATGCACAGGAGGACAGATTGCCTGAGCATGCACAGGAGGACAGGTTGCCTGAGCATGCACAGGACAGGCTGCCTGAGCATGCACAGGACAGGCTGCCTGAGCATGCACAGGACAGGCTGCCTGAGCATGCACAGGACAAACTGTGAGCATGCACAGGACAGACTGTGAGCATGCACACCATGCATTATCTCCTGCTCTTCTAGTGTTCTCTAATCTATGTGTTTATTACCTGATGATCCATCAAGCTGTGGGTGTATGGGATGTGTGAAATCTAGTTGTTTATTATTACTAAAATCTTGCTCTTTGAATTTCACACAAGTAAATGATTGCGTTACACAATATAGTGTGTTGAGAGTCGCCCAAATTATTTACCGTTCTAGTGGCTTATCTGAGACTAGATATCAATACTTAGCGCCCTGATTGCGTGCTAAGAAATAATCAGAATGACACTGGTAAATCAGAGCTCTTTAGTGTATTAGAGATTAGACGACACGGCTTGGCGCCCCCCTTTATGGGGCTTGGCGCCCCCTTCACGGGGGACTGGCGCCCCCCCCTTCACGGGGGACTGGCGCCCCCCCCCTTCACGGGGGACTGGCGCCCCCCCCTTCACGGGGGACTGGCGCCCCCCCCCCCCTTCACGGGGGACTGGCACCCCCCCTTCGCTGGGACTGGCCAGTCTCGAATTAATAATAATTACGGTTAGGTTACTCCTTTAGGATTAAGTAAACTTAAACTTAAGTAAACTTTAACTTAAGTAGAACTGAAGTAAACTTATGTAAACTTACGTCAACGTTACTAGGAACGGGATTTCACGGGGACTGGTGCGTATACCTCTGCTAATTTGGTTACTAATTCACTACTTCCACAGCTACTCACAAATACTGTGTTTGTCGCTTAATACAAACGTTGAGTGTGATGTATTAATTTTATCATTGCACGATCATCTTTTACCGGTTGAGCTGTTTCACACACACCAAACTGTTCTGGATGTTATGGTGACGCTTCGCAACAAGTTACAGCATTAATGACACTGGTTTTTAAAGCTCACTAATCTATGCTTTTACTTCCATAGTATTAGTAAATATATTGCAGTTTCTTCTTTTTTCTAAAGATAAAGTTAACAAATGAACAACTCCACAAGGGCCGTGACGAGGATTTGAACCTGCGTCCAGGAGCATCCCAGACACTGCCTTAATCGACTGAGCTACGACAGGGTAAAAGGGTTGAAACCGAAGTTCTACTGAACTTCATCCCAGAACTAACATCACGTTAGTGTGATCTCTGTGTGTGATAAAATTAACAAGTTTAAATTTAACAAATTATAAAGTTAACAAGACTGTTCTGTGTGTTTCTCATATCTTATCCAGTAACACACGGGCTCGCACCTTACTTGTAGAGTGTTAGTAGCAGGTCTATATATTTCCCATAACTGGCTTGTTTAGGGAACATAAAACACGTGACTGGTGTTGTGTAACAGGGGGTAACGTAACGCCTCGTTATAACATTAAGATATTCCTCACCGGAGACAAGATGCCTCGCAAGTCCCACGCAAGTTATTCAAGGCAAGACTCCGTGTATGTGTTGTGTGTTATAGCGTATATTTTGATTCCTGTTGTGGACATGTTCATGTAATTCTCAACAAGGACCACCTAGAGGGCTTTCCTGGATAGCCCTCTCTAGGTGGTCCTCGAGTTGGAGTCTTAGACCACTGGTAGTTCGCAGGACGTAATCCCTGGTCCGGTTCTAGGGGGGTTAGTTAGACCTTGCAAACAGCCTTCCCATTTAACAAATATAGCGGATTGGTCATATGAGCTTCAGACAGGACTAGGGGGAGAGTGTACGTAAAGCGATTGGTGATTGTTCATCACAAAAATTCTTATTGTTTTGGGTAAAAAGCTCAAGGTTATTTAAGATTTGTACTAGATTTGGCTGGGCTCTGGTTTTGGGCCTCCAGATCCTCCCAGTGAGTTAAGTTAAGTTCCAGGCTGGTCGACGTTTGTACCATCATGGCCAAGTCGGTTAGGACAGGTGTCTGGGATTCACCAGAACGCGATTTCAAGTATCTCCAGTGCCCCAGAATGATTTTCGTCCCCTAACCACTTGGGGTGGACGGTAGAGCCACAATCTCCTTTCATGCAGGTCGGAATTCAATCCCCGACTGTCCAAGTGGTTGGGCACTATTCCTTTCCCTCGTCCCATCCTAAATCCATACCCCTTTCAAGTACTTCATAATAGTAATGGCTTGGCGCTTTCTCCTGATAGTTCCCTTCCACTTCCTGGACCAGGGTGGGAGTAGCCCGTTATCAAGTCAGACTTGTTAAAACTTCGGCCCTCAAACATGCAGCCCGTACTGTTCAACAAAGCCCAAATGCTCGTTAATCCAGCCTGCAAACCCCTTGTTAATGCATGGAAAATGGTCTGCACACGACTGCAACTCGTCCTCACACTAGGCTGGTTAAAGCGGCGGCCGTCCTCCCTACACGCATTCATCAATTTTAACAAGCTGTGTATTAAATATTGTTTGTTCTCATATATAAATTAATATTATTATACATGAAAATTCTATGTATAGTTACGCGTAGGTTAGGTTAGGTGTTTAGGTTCTGTTGACGATTATTTGTATTTGTAGTACGTGGGTGAAGCATTTATAGCGTTGTGGTTCGAACAAAATTAGTCAGTGAAGCACTTGTTCCCGAAGTGTTCGAACGAAATCAGTTGAGAGTCGTGTGTAAACCGTTTTTCATTCATAAACACCCGGGGGTTTGGCGGGTGGATGGAATTTCTTTTTAGTCGTTGTTTGGAGGACGGGATGATTTGTACAGTCCGTCCTCCAAATAAAGACCCATGCGTCCTGCAAACAAAGCGATTCCATCCACCCGCCAA